GGTGGATAGAAGGAAGTTCGGGCCCGTTCCCTCGCTGCTACCCAAAGCCCATAGACCGGGGTGGGCTTCCTCATTGTTAACAGAGTTTCCTCCGCCGTGCACACATCTGAGGCCAAAATCACTATTTTAACCTTATCAGAAAACTTTAGCACAAAATGAACTCCTCTGAATTTTATTTCACGATCTGACCCTTCTCAAAAACGTCACGAACTGTGGCGTTTCTGTCCTACATAGAAACGACGAACCATCTAACAACCCATGTTCATGGGAGGGATGGGCTTCCAAGATATAGAACTGTTTAATTTGGCGCTGCTGGCTCGACAGGCTTGGTGCCTCCTCCAAAAACCTGACTCTTCGAGTGCTTGCATCTTAAAGTCTTCGAAATAGAGGATAATTCGTACAGGGTGCACACCCACCACGACCAAACAGCACGGCTCACTAAGGACTGTACCAGTAGTGTGGGTTTCTAGCGTTCTTTCTTGTGGTTGGTTCATTTTTTAATTCTTTTTTGTCTATTTCTTTGCTGATTTCTGTTCAGCTTCTTTCTTTTCTACTTTCTTTTCATTTTAATTTCATGAACTTTTATTTTTATAAAATTGTGAAAATTGTAAATTCACAGTTTTTTAAATGAAAATTTTCAAATTTGTAACCTTTTTTCAAATACATAAACGTTTTTCATGAATTTTTTCCCAAATTTCTTGATTATTTCAAAATAAATGACTTTTTTCAAATCTGTGAACTTTTTCAAAATCCATAGACTTTTTTGAAAATCATGAACAATTTTAAAATTGGCGAACAATTTTACAAATTGTGAACTTTTTTAAAATCCTTGTAATTTTTTAAAATTCGGGAACATTTTTACCAAGTACATGGATTTTTTAATCAAATTCATAAACTTTTTTGAATTTGTGATGTTTTTTTTTTCAAACTCATGTACACTGTTATGGCATTCCCTGGTTTTCTAATTTTTTTTGCAAATGTTTCCATAAAATTTCAAATGATCAACGATCAAACGATGTATGGCCAATGCTCAACGGTTAGAGGTCAAAGGTTGAGCTATTAGCGGTTAGCAGGTCAAAGGAGTGAGCAGTCAAAAACAAATCCTTGCTCAGGTGAGAGTCGGTTTGTTGGGCCAGCCCACAAATCCTCACGTGATAGCGTTGGTTGCGTTACCTGCTGCAACGAGCATTTAACGAGGAGCTCTCCTTAAAGTGTGTGTATGACCCTACGAGATCTATTTTGGAAGCGAGCCTCGAGAAGCACACCTCGCAAGTTTGGTAGTCCATTTTTGAGGGAAGGGATACCCTCAAGTTGGGCCTCATTAACAAGATTGGCACTGTTGAAAACACGGAGATTTGGCATGATAATTGGATCCCACGGGATTTTAAGCTATGTACGGTTTGCCAAGAATCTTTACATCCGTCGTAGCTGGTCAATGAGTTTATTGACCATACTTCGGCTCATGGAAGGTGGAAGCAATTGAAGAACATTTTTATGATATGGACAATGACAGTTTCTCGGTCCGTGGGTATCTCGCCACGTTAGTTCCTGGCATGGTGGATCAGGCTGCATACCCCTAGATCAGTTCCGTCCTAGATCATGTTGGGCAGCCCATGATATTTATACGAAAGGCTACAGAATACTTGTCGTGCAAGATGAGGATACCGGAGCCGAGGAGAACTCTACCTCCACTGACATAGTTGACTAGGATCTGCAACCCTAGAACCCATGGTGTGCTATATAAGCCATGTGAAGCTTATACACCCCTATCGCAATATATGTGAGCAGGGGTTAATACCTTGACCAAGAGGGCCAGGACCTAGGTCAATCTTGCTACTTGTTTCCCTTCTGACCTAATCGCTACGCTCTGGCACTTAATTAAACTATATTAGTTCTTTATTTTTTGGGCACATAATTATAACATTTCATTTCCAAAATAATAAAAATATCTGTAATCATGTGTGTGACCACAAATTAGTATACAAATAACTAAAGTTTAGATCACACGCTAGGTGTAGTTTTTATTTGATGTTAAAATTGTTTATGAAGTCAAAATTCCGATCGTGAGTTGTTCATAATAACATTGAGAGTAAAATTCAGACTATTTTATATATCCGATGCTAAATTGATTCGAAGATCTATCTTTCTCGGGCCTATTAACTAAGAATATTTTTGTGTTGGACTTATAGCTCAATTCTCTTTTGTTGTTGATCATGTGCTTTTAGTACATTATGTCATGAATATATTTTAGGCATATATATTTTCATATGTGGATTAACGTCTAAATAATCAGACAACATTGTATGAATATTTGTTATGGTAATTCTAGAACCATTTGATGGTATTTATGAATAAAAAAGGGAATAAATTGCTTAATGAACTCAATACAAATATATCTCGCAAAAAGATTAATACATATATTGACATCTTAGTAGGTAATGCTTTTATTGTTGCGTGTCTTCACCCACATAATTTTTTCAATCCCATGGCACCGCCGCTATCTTTATGAGATGGCCACAAGTATCCTACGATATTATTAAAAGAAGTATGCACCAGACATGTGATTGGGCATTTTTATGTGTGTGAGCATTACGAAGATATTTTTTATCTTGACCACAAACTCTTTTTTATGTTTGACTAACAAAACAATTATATATTAATATTTATTACTCCCTCCAAACAGGTGTATAGGGCATGCACGTGTTCCTCGGTCATCAATTTGACTAATAAAATACTCCCTCCGTAAAGAAATATAAGAGCATTTAGATCACTAAAGTAGTGATCTAAACACTCTTATATTTGTTTACAGAGGGAGTACATGTTATATACCACCAAAATTATATGTTTAGAAACTTTGTTCAATTACAAATCCAATTATATGCTTTTTATGGTATATAATACATGTTTTGTTAGTCAAACTAAGGGCGTAAAACCTGCATCAACCTTATAAATCCGACAAAGGGGGTACTTGTTTAGCTGCAATACAATGGTCTGTTTATTGTGATCTTGTTAGGTACACTTGGTAAGATGAACCATTTGGGTGAATGCCTACCTTCTCTAATCCATTTGACCTAGGCTATGTAGGAGCAAGTGATACATCAGTAAAAAAAAGTCTACCACGTGCCGGTAGCTGGATGTGTTTTCTGCGATCAATTCGTAGGATATCCCTCATTTGTTGTTCCATGTCTTTGTATCGAATAAATAGATCAAAAAATTCCTAGACCATGTTAGATCAACATGAAATTTGTAGCTATTTTCTCTGACTATAAGAATGTGTGTGCTTCATATAGTAGTTTAGAACAACTGGATAGCCGCCTATATGTGCCCTGTGTAGTTTGCCTCTATTTAATTGTTTGCCGTTAAGAACATAGTCAAGTAAATCTATCACACATATTTCTAAATAACCATGAATAAATGAATATGGTGAGATGTCGACCATATGGACCAAACACCTAATATAAAAAATAATAGAATGTTCATATTTTAATGGAAGTTTGTAAAAGCTTTATTTTCTTACATCAATATGGAAAATTCAATAATTCTCGAATGAAAAATAACACATGTGAACTTGAGTGCATCTCTAAAATAAATAGTTATATAAAACTTTTGAACGCCTGATACGTCTCCAACGTATCTATAATTTATGAAGCATTCATGCTATTTTATTATCTGTTTTGAATGATTACGGGCTTTATTATACATTTTTATATTACTTTTGGGACTAACCTATTAACCGGAGGCCCAACCCATATTGCTGTTTTCTTGCCTATTTTAGTGTTTCAAAGAAAAGGAATATCAAACGGAGTCCAAACGGAATGAAACCTTCTGGAGCATAATTTTTGGAACGAACATGATTCGGGAGACTTGGAGTACAAGCCAGGGAAGCTTCGAGGAGGCCAGGAGATAGGAGGGCGCGCCCCTTATCTCGTGGGCCCCTCGAGCCGCCCCCGACCGACTTCTTTCGCCTATATATTCCCATATACCCTAAAACCATCAAAGACGAAGATAGATCGGGAGTTCCGCCGCCGCAAGCCTCTGTAGCCACCAAAAACCTCTCGGGAGCCCGTTCCGGCACCCTGCCGGAGGGGGGATCTCTCACCGGTGGCCATCTTCATCATCCTGGCGCTCTCCATGACGAGGAGGGAGTAGTTCACCCTCGGGGCTGAGGGTATGTACCAGTAGCACTACAAAAAAAATACACTTCCGTGATGATACGTGTTTGTCACAGTAGGTCGCGTTTTTTGTCATGCATGTACATCCATGACGATTTTATGACATAGTCATACCTGTGCTATCGTACAAGTGTTCTATGACATTACCAAAATTATCATCACGGAAGTGTTCACTTCCATGACGATAAATCGCGCGTCACAGAAGTGCTTTCGTCAAGGGTGACCGACACGTGGCATCCACTGTAACGGAATGCCATTAAGCTATCGGGTCGGGTTTTGGATCGGATAACCCGTTAACAGCCCTGACCAATGGGGATTTTCCATGTGTAAAATCATCATTGGCTGGAGGAAACACGTGTCAG